GGGGGGGGGGGGGGGGGGGGGGGGGGCGCATGTTTGTGTTCATTCAAATCATCGTACCAAACCATTTTTGCTGATGGACATTATTATTATTTATGCAAATACTTAATAGTCAGTATTTTGCAGATTTGAGTCCCCTACTATTTGATTTGCTTTTATATTTTAACTCGTCAAGGGCTGCGTTATGAGTACTCAAGTCTTTCTAAAATGCAGGTAGTTCATCATTGACTGTAGTACAGCTATTGAATTATACGTTTTAAATGTATTCTGTCTTGACATGTAATTTTGATGGTCCGGGTGGCAATTTACATTTTGCTGGAGTGATTTACTGGAAATTACTGGATATTGTGATAGTCTGGAGAGTCTATGTTAACGTTGATTGGAAAATTCTTTTTTTTTGCAGTTTTTGCAAAAAGTCTTTCTAATATTTTTTCTCTCTCCAACTGGATCGATAATGAAATATATATTGCATGGTAGAGAACTGCATTATAATTCTTTTATTTTTCAAACAACTCCATAGTTTTTCCTTCATTTTTTTGAAAAAGAAAGCCACAAGTTCCAGTGGATTGAATATCAAGAAAATTCTTCTTGGTCATTGTCAGATTCGTTTAGATTTGATGAGCCCAGATCGAAGCCCAATCCATGAAGTAAGCCTAGATGTGTTAAAAGGCAGGTTAGGTCCAGCTCATAGATTCAACCCAATCCAGAATTGAAGAAACCCAGAAGATTAGCGCGTGGGAGTAATTACCGGAATAATCACTACTCGAAGATCAAGACTATTTTTAATTGTCCCTATTCTTAGCTATAGATATCCTTCCTGAAAGACTAGTAATCTATCTCTTACGCCATTGTCTCAACTAAGACTCTGTGCTTATAAATTCTAAGTCCTCTCTTTACATACATGAGAGATACACAACTATCTCTTTTATAGTTATCTCACAACACGTAGAGCTTGTTCGTGCTCTCTCTCCCCTCAACTACTTTATCAGTAAAGTCTTTCAGTCACCGTTATTGCCTTTAAAGTGGAATAGGACACGCTGATCGAATAATTCTATATCTGTGTTGACCTATATTAACTACTCGATAGGTGGTGCATATTTGTGATTGTAAGCTGTAAATAGGTCCAGAATGTANTAGAATAGGACACGCTGATCGAATAATTCTATATCTGTGTTGACCTATATTAATTACTCGATAGGTGGTGCATATTTGTGATTGTAAGCTGTAAATAGGTCCAGAATGTAAAGCATTACTAAGAATGAGATAGTATGAAACTCAACAGCAATTTTTATGGAATCAATTCTTTGTTTTTTTGTTCATAACATTCTGGTGGATCGATAAGCAATTAAGTGTTATACTTACTCTGATGCAAATGAAGAAATAATCAACATTGTTCTTGTTGAGGCCTTTATGCAGTAGTTGTTAAATAGGCATTCAAACTCAGACAAAGTTGACAACATGATGGATGGCATTTAAATGTTATGGACCTTTTGGTTGTTATATGCTGCTGCGTTGGGTTCTGCTTGATTAATTTGTAGATTCTTGTTTATTGATTGGAAAGAACCAAAAAAAAGTTCAACACAACCTTCTCCAACATTAGAAAAATAATGTATTGCATGAAACTCTAGTCATTGGGAAATAAAAAGAGTCAGATATAAAGAGTATTATTCTATAAGTGGAAAGGTTATGTCCATGAATTTGTGATGTCCAAATTTCGTGAGATAAACCCAATGAAATATTAATACTCGGTTTGGTACGAATGATAAAAAATAGGAGGAATATATTTTTTATTTTTTTTGTGTTTGATAGGATAAATGAAAAATAAAATTTTTTTTTTTTTTGCTTGGTAAGATGGAAAAATATTTTTTTATTTTATATTAATTTAAAAAAAGTATAAATTCATATTTTATCATTGCATTTATATATGAAATTAATGTATATATCAAAGGATACATAAACAATAAGTTACATTTTAACACAAATAATTAATTTTTTATCCATTTTTCTTCTAATTTTGGAGGGATCGACTTTAGTGAATTAGAAAAAATTTCATTCATCAACTTTTTCATTCTTTTTATTATTTTTTTTTATCAAATATGATATTTTTTTATCTATCCTTCTTATTTTTCATCTTTTTAATTTTTTATTCTTCTATTTTTTTTATTGCACCAAACATAGCATAAATCTGATTAAATTGTTTTCATAATTTAAATTAGTGATGTCAAATCATGATAAAGTTACTTCCACACTCTATCCGTCAAATAATCCAAAAAAATTGAAATGAATGGTGGGGGTGCAAGTTACGGGTTGGACAGTTAACCCTAACTCAACCCTAAGTATATAATCTTCAACTATAACTCTAACTCTAACCCTATCTTGGGTTGAGAAACTCAACTTGAGCATTGTTCGAGTTTAATTCGGGTGGGTTCGGGTTGAATTCGGGTTAATGATTTCGAATTACTTTATGGACTGATTTTGTTACTTCAATTAAGTTTTTAATATAAAAATCATAATATTAAGAACGCAATGTTTGAGATAAATATAACTCTAAAATATACAAAATACAAATAAACACAACCAAAATTTTTACATAAATATAGAGTTCACTGTTCAAACATAGAGTTCACTGTTTAAACAAAATCTTTACACAACCAGAATCTTTGAGAAAAATTGAGAGTGAGTGAGGATCTGAGGGAGACGCACACTTGAGTTGAGATTAACTTTTGAATAAAATTATATTTATATAGTATTAATTCGGATTGAACCCAATGGCTCAATACTAGGTCCGTTCAAATTGAATTCGGGTTGAAATTTTTTGACTTAAGCCTAACCCAAGTATTAAAAATTCTAACTTAAACCTTAATTTTTTTGGGTTAACTTCAAGTTGAAATCGAGTTAATCCGTCCAAGTTACACTTCTATGGGATGGTGATTTAGGTAGGGAGAGAGAGAGAGAGAGAGAATAGGCAAAAATTGTGAGTCGTTGCTTTTGCAACGATCCATGTCTTATTTTCAAAACACACAGGCGTAGATTTGCAATATCCCCGATTTGTTTTATCACGTGATTCGGGGCGAAGAAGAGAGTCAGAAAACGACGTCGTGTTTCATCGGCAGTAACGACCGCTTGGTAGTTTGAACGGGATCAGATTGCAATCGTTCTCAGCCCAACAGTTCGGCTAAGTGTTGACCAAACAAACTGGTGAACAGCCCAGTACACACACCTCTCTCTCTCTCTCTCTCTCTCTCTCTCTCTCTTGTACGCTTGGAACTTATTCTCTTTCTCCGTTAACGGCCAAAGCTAAATAGTAGAGAGGTAGTCTCTTGTTGCACCTGATCGAAGATGAGCTCTCAGATTTGCAGATCTGCTTCTCGAGCTGCGAGGTCTATCCTCTCTGCTTCTAAGCACAGGTCTCATGTCTTTGCCGGTATATTTTCAGTCTCTATTCTCTCTGTTCTGTTAGATCTTTCTAGTTACTATATACTTTATTCGGTTTAGTTAATTTGATCTCAATTTCTTGCTATCAATTTTTTTCCTAAAAATTAATGTTAGATTATTTTCTGCATCTAATCTGATAGTATATTGTATATCAACATTCATCATGGTGTTGTCCTCTTCTTCAGCTAAGAGAATAAATCTGCACTTTGATCAGCGCAATTGTTGAGTTGTAGATGAACCGTGACCGTGTGTGCCGGCCGTTTTGCCTATATATTTTTCTATGGTGTAAATAAAACTAGTTTTTTCTGTTCATCTATTTACACAATCAGAAATATATATAATATATATGCATATGCACGTATGTATACATAAAAACACACACACACACACACATGTATGTATAATTCTGGGAATTGGTGCTCAGAACTTGTTTCTAATGGTTTCTATGACTTATATGTTATATTAAATGCATTGATTTCGAGTAGTATATTTTCCTTTGTCGTTCCCAAATAATTCCAAAGTCCATACATTCTTTTATATCTTCTATGCTCATTTCCTCATACGTATTTTTTTTCTCTTTTCGTAGACTGACCCTTCAGTCGTTAGTTTTTTTCTCTATAAAGCTGAACTATCAGAAATTGCATATGTTACAAATACATTTTCAAGTGTGTGTATTTCAAATATATACACACCTACTGTGTACTTGATGTGAATGTGAGAATGTATCTTTTGTTTACCACAAAGAATTGTTTAATTGCAGAAGGGAGAACTGCAGCTGCAGCAATGGCAGTGTCCTTCAGAAGAAAGGTGCCCTCTCTAGCTTCATATGGGAGGGCCAACTCTGGAAGTGAATCTGGAGGATGGATTTCTGGAGCCCTTGCCCTTCCTGCTACTGGTTTGTATAATGAAACTTCTTCTTAGTATGCCTTTCTACATTAGTTTCTTCCTTCCTCTATATTTTATGTCCTTTTACAATTTGAGTCTCCTACAACAAACAATAGTTTGTCACCATCATGACATGATGGAAAAACAAGGACTGTGCATTTACGAGCTCATTTGTCTTAGCATGAAGGATCTATCCTACATGTTCTATTGTTGTTTTCTGAAATTGAACTTCGGATTGTAAGCATGGAAGGTGTTTGTATGTATGATAGCCGCTGATACCACTTCCCATTTTGGTAGATGAAAGGGGATTCTTTGGGTTGAGAAGCCTTATTTTCTCTAGATGTGTATGTCTGTTTATGTGTGTAGACCGAAGACATTGCTATGCTAGTTTTGGTTATTTTTCCTTGATTAGTTTTGTCATGTACTTGTCAGCAAAATGTGCTCTCTCTTTTGTATAAGTCACACAATTTCCATATTGTTGAACAGTTTAACTCGCACCTTCTGTCTCATCACTGCCAGTGTTGCTAATCTTCCTAATGGGGTAAATAATAATGAGATGTCTTAGAAATAGAGGATTTAACGTTGTGGCATCCAAATCACTTGTTTGGGGGCTAATGATATTCATTTCTGCATCAGTGTGGTCATGTTCACATATGTGTTGTCCGTGCCAGTTAGCTTACAGTTCCTCTGTTTTCACTTCTGTTACAAACAAATTGATCAATATGATAGCCTTGGTTCTGTGAANTGCTGGTTTGTATAATGAAACCTTCTTAGTATGCCTTTCTACATTAGTTTCTTCCTTCCTCTGTATATTTTATGTCCTTTTACAATTTGAGTCTCCTACAACAAACAATAGTTCGTCACCATCATGACATGATGGAAAAACAAGGACTGTGCATTTACGAGCTCATTTGTCTTAGCATGAAGGATCTATCCTACATGTTCTATTGTTGTTTTCTGAAATTGAACTTCGGATTGTAAGCATGGAAGGTGTTTGTATGTATGATAGCCGCTGATACCACTTCCCATTTTGGTAGATGAAAGGGGATTCTTTGGGTTGAGAAGCCTTATTTTCTCTAGATGTGTATGTCTGTTTATGTGTGTAGACCGAAGACATTGCTATGCTAGTTTTGGTTATTTTTCCTTGATTAGTTTTGTCATGTACTTGTCAGCAAAATGTGCTCTCTCTTTTGTATAAGTCACACAATTTCCATATTGTTGAACAGTTTAACTCGCACCTTCTGTCTCATCACTGCCAGTGTTGCTAATCTTCCTAATGGGGTAAATAATAATGAGATGTCTTAGAAATAGAGGATTTAACGTTGTGGCATCCAAATCACTTGTTTGGGGGCTAATGATATTCATTTCTGCATCAGTGTGGTCATGTTCACATATGTGTTGTCCGTGCCAGTTAGCTTACAGTTCCTCTGTTTTCACTTCTGTTACAAACAAATTGATCAATATGATAGCCTTGGTTCTGTGAAATCTTTTGGGTGCATTATATTTCGATATTTCAAACTTCTTTTATCTTTGGATCCTCATTCCACCGCTGCCTTTTCTTTCTTTATAATGTAGCTTACATGCTTCAGGAGCAAGAGGCACATGCTGCAGAGGTACTCCAATTGCCATTTGCTTCTCTAATATTTTATTCTAGGACTTTTTGTTCTTTGCTCTGTGTGTGGGTGTTTCTCCTTCGTTCTTTTTGGCAGACTCATGGTGCATCTTCTCTTCTCTCTCCAGATGGAGCGCACTTTTATTGCTATCAAGCCTGATGGAGTTCAGAGAGGGCTGGTAAGATACCTTCGGCTTCTTTTGTGGCCTTTGGAAATTGCCCTTTGCACATAATAGGGCGATGAACTCTAAGATAATGCAGTCTCTTTCTGTTTATCTATCTCTATATTTCCTTCCAACCATGCCATTTAGATGTACNCTCTTCTCTCTCCAGATGGAGCGCACTTTTATTGCTATCAAGCCTGATGGAGTTCAGAGAGGGCTGGTAAGATACCTTTGGCTTCTTTTGTGGCCTTTGGAAATTGCCCTTTGCACATAATAGGGCGATGAACTCTAAGATAATGCATTCTCTTTCTGTTTATCTATCTCTATATTTCCTTCCAACCATGCCATTTAGATGTACTTCCATTTTGTGTATTAAATTATGTCCTCATTTTGTACAAGAAGGTCGCCTTTTTTCATGATTTGTGCGTGTATGCGTGTGGTTTGACCCTGCTCCCTTCGCTTGAGGAGTGGCATTTTTGTCTGATTTGAGATAAATTCCTTGTATTTCAGATTTCAGAAATCATATCTCGTTTTGAGAGGAAAGGTTTTAAGCTTGTCGCAATCAAAATTGTAGTTCCTTCGAAGGAATTTGCACAGAAGCATTATCATGATCTCAAGGACAGACCATTCTTTAATGGGCTGTGTGAATTCCTNTCTGTGTGTGTATGCGTGTGGTTTGATCCTGCTCCCTTTGCTTGAGGAGTGGCATTTTTGTCTGATTTGAGATAAATTCCTTGTATTTCAGATTTCAGAAATCATATCTCGTTTTGAGAGGAAAGGTTTTAAGCTTGTCGCAATCAAAATTGTAGTTCCTTCGAAGGAATTTGCACAGAAGCATTATCATGATCTCAAGGACAGACCATTCTTTAATGGGCTGTGTGAATTCCTTAGCTCTGCCCCTGTTGTTGCAATGGTTAGAATAACTGTCAACTCCCTCTAATATATCGACTTCAGCTTGTGGGAGCACCAAACTCAATCTGCTTCACTTTTTCAGGTTTGGGAAGGTGAAGGAGTGATAAAATATGGTCGGAAACTTATTGGAGCCACAGATCCACAGAAATCAGAACCTGGTACCATCAGAGGTGATCTGGCTGTTGTTGTTGGAAGGTATTATTTTAAACTTGAACAGTAATTTTTCAGTTTCTTACATTTACCGTCTCACACTTCCACAAATTGCATTTCTTGAGTTCCACCAAATCAGCAGTGCAATCTTTTACTCGATGAATCACGATAAATTGTGCAAGACTCTTACTTCAATGACTGCAACGTGAATGGCTTATCATAACATTTCATTTTATTTTCTGCATTGTAGAAATATCATTCATGGGAGTGATGGCCCTGAGACTGCCAAGGATGAAATTAACCTATGGTTCAAACCAGAAGAGCTGGTTAGTTACACAAGCAACGCGGAGAAGTGGATTTATGGAGTCAACTGATGACATTTTTCGTTCTAATAATTTCCCTACAATTAGATTCACATGAAGAGCAAGATTTGACTTGACGCATAATTATCAGAATAACTTCTTTTTTCTTTGGCTTAGGCTGAGGCACATCTTTTTTCTCCAAGCCACCGGCAAAACTTAATCACTGCAATAATTTAATTTGTCACTGTGATTAGTGNGCTTAGGCTGAGGCACAACTTTTTTCTCAAAGCCACCGGCAAAACTTAATCACTGCAATAATTTAATTTGTCACTGTGATTAGTGAATGCAGTCAGTGCATTTTTCATACTGTGTTTCCTTTTTCTGATATTGGAGAAGGATACCCCTTCAAATTGTAAAAGGCTATTTTTGGTTTTCAAGCTTCCTTATACTTCTGTGCCATCGGAACTTCGGGCTTAGATTCACTGTTTCTGCTGCACTTGAAGCTTCAGCTGTCTTCAAGCATGTTGAGATGATAAAACCTCTTGTTTTGAAAACCGCATTATAACCCCCGAGTAATCCACCACAACTTTTGCATTATCTCAACAAATAGTGGGGCTCACGCTCAATATAATAATTGTGAGTGATTAGGTTAACGTATTAGGTATAACCAAATATACTTCTCTCTCTCTCCACGGCAATCTATCTCACACCTCTATCGANGTTCAATATAATAATTGTGAGTGATTAGGTTAACGAATTAGGCATAACCAAATATACTTCTCTCTCTCTCCACGGCAATCTATCTCACACCTCTATCGAATCCATCATCCACCACCACCATTGAACCCATCCTTTTTTCTGTTGGTGCAAAGAGAGGGAAAGGGCAGAACCCCACCCCCACTGGCCACCATGTTCCCACCCTAACTTGATTGAAGAACTCTCATCCCCACTAATTTCCCCTCCTTGAATAAGAATCCTTGGAACCTCCTCACAGAACCCCCAAACCCTTTGGGAGCCCTTTGCAGTCAAATACACTATATCTATATTATTATTGTGTCGATTATAATACTAACTGGAAGGTGATATTATAGTCCAGTTCAAGCGTAGTAAGTTATAAAATTACTATTTACTCACCAAATAAACAAAAACATTAATAATTAGACATAATTGATGGTCTATTTGTTTAATATGTAATTAGTACTATGTATATTATTTATGTCTCATATTTAATTTTATATTTTATCCGCATATACGAAATTAGCTTATTTTTATTTTTAACAATAATATTATTTGAGTCTAATTTATTGTAATCATTATATTAATAACGAGGCTTAAAAAATATTAAGACTCACTCTTAGTTCAATTAGATTAATAAATTATACCCACATAATATTATTAATTTTTCAAATAAGACGAGACTCATTTCATTTAATGATAAACTTAATAGCATTATTATACTTATCAAATTACTCGTCAAATTTTATATGTAAGTGATTGAATTAGTGAGTTCCTCACAACCTTACTAAAGATTTAATGCATAGAATGTATCACAAAATGCATAATTTTACAGTAAACTTAAGTGGCCTGTGTTGAATTAATCACTAAAATACAATAATTTTTAAACAAAATTATCAAAATACGGTATTTTTAAATTTATTTATCAAAATATGGAACTTTTTGAAATCGAATTCAATAATTCCACTTTTATTAGAAACGGATTTAACAATTTCACTTTTGACCCCCCTTTTTAAAAAAAAAATAAATTAGGCACCGGTGAAAACGTGTTTAATAAACACGCTTTCTACACAACAATCTTCCCCTACGTTGCAGCCAACATCAATGGAAAGCAATAATTGTAAGAACTTGCCCTTCATCGAAATCAAGAACCAAATGCAAAACTNGAATCCATCATCCACCACCACCATTGAACCCATCCTTTTTTCTGTTGGTGCAAAGAGAGGGAAAGGGCAGAACCCCACCCCCACTGGCCACCATGTTCCCACCCTAACTTGATTGAAGAACTCTCATCCCCACTAATTTCCCCTCCTTGAATAAGAATCCTTGGAACCTCCTCACAGAACCCCCAAACCCTTTGGGAGCCCTTTGCAGTCAAATACACTATATCTATATTATTATTGTGTCGATTATAATATTAACTGGAAGGTGATATTATAGTCCAGTTCAAGCGTAGTAAGTTATAAAATTACTATTTACTCACCAAATAAACAAAAACATTAATAATTAGACATAATTGATGGTCTATTTGTTTAATATGTAATTAGTACTATGTATATTATTTATGTCTCATATTTAATTTTATATTTTATCCGCATATACGAAATTAGCTTATTTTTATTTTTAACAATAATATTATTTGAGTCTAATTTATTGTAATCATTATATTAATAATGAGGCTTAAAAAATATTAAGACTCACTCTTAGTTCAATTAGATTAATAAATTATACCCACATAATATTATTAATTTTTCAAATAAGACGAGACTCATTTCATTTAATGATAAACTTAATAGCATTATTATACTTATCAAATTACTCGTCAAATTTTATATGTAAGTGATTGAATTAGTGAGTTCCTCACAACCTTACTAAAGATTTAATGCATAGAATGTATCACAAAATGCATAATTTTACAGTAAACTTAAGTGGCCTGTGTTGAATTAATCACTAAAATACAATAATTTTTAAACAAAATTATCAAAATACGGTATTTTTAAATTTATTTATCAAAATATGGAACTTTTTGAAATCGAATTCAATAATTCCACTTTTATTAGAAACGGATTTAACAATTTCACTTTTGACCCCCCTTTTTAAAAAAAAAATAAATTAGGCACCGGTGAAAACGTGTTTAATAAACACGCTTTCTACACAACGATCTTCCCCTACGTTGCAGCCAACATCAATGGAAAGCAATAATTGTAAGAACTTGCCCTTCATCGAAATCAAGAACCAAATGCAAAACTCAGTGCATTTTCTCTTTTTCCGATTCTCGCCGTTCATATCACTCTTACCTTTGAACAATTTCTCTGATTTTCCCATCAAATTTTAGGGTTAGGGTCTTTTTTTTCTTGGGTTTTTTTTGTTTGGCGGCTTACCTGGAACGCTTTTCGACCGGTATCTGAAAGGTTTCTAAGCTCTGGAGTCTACTATAGTGATCAAGGCTCGGTTTTATGCTACTTTGTGCACACATGTATTTATGCTTTGGGTGATTAGTTGATTGATTTTATTTGTATTTTTGGTTGTGTTTTTGTGCTTCAGGGGGTGCTATATTTGATTGCTGAGAAAAATTTCTGGAGATTTGGACTCAAATGGATTGTGTTGTTGCCATGACGAGGGCAGAGAGCTTCCCACGAACAGTTCTCCACTCCAACACATTTGGCTCTGCAACTCAGTCCCTGACCCATCCCCTCTTTGATTTGTCCTCACAGAACACACTTTTCACAAAAAAACAAAGAAAGCGTGTTTAATAAACACGCTTTCATCAGTGTCCAAGTTTTTCTTGAAAAAAAGGGGGTTAAAATCTCAGTTATTGAACATGCTTTCTAATAAAAGTAAAATTATTAAATTCGCTTTATTGTTTAAAAATTATTATATTTTGGTGGTTAATTCAAAAAATAAGTGGCTAGTAATCCCAGTCATTAATGGGATCAAAAACTTCAATTCGATCCTCCATGACGTGGCACATTGCGTTTGGCTGCGTAGAAGTCTTAGCTGTCAAACGGTGACGCAGTTTCTACCTCAAATTCCGCGCAAGTAAAACAGCAAACGCCGCGGTGTTTACTGGCGGACTTAAAACCGCAAGATATTGTCATCAATTGATTCGGAATTGAAGTCCGCAAATCATAGGGTTCTCCTATATATACGGGTCTCCACCGTGGCTTATTTACTAGTTTTCTCGCCGTCGAGCAACCGAGCAACTTTCTCTGATCCCTCAAAATATTTCCTTTTCCTCGAAACCCTAACCCTAACCTCAGCTATAATCTGTTTCAATCCTCTTCCTGATCTGAAATTCATCCCTCCACACAGGTAAGATTGGATTTCATTCGATTCCTATATAATTACCGGTCTCTGTTTCCCGTTCTACATCTCAATATTCTACGTTGAAACGGTGTGTTTGTGTGTGGTTTCTGGTATAGTTTCTTCTTTTTGCACTGGTACAATTTTTTTCTCGAGGATTTGTTTGATTTGGTTACTACTTCCGTAACCCTACGGATTGTTATTAGACTATTTGTTGATTTTTTAGTTATAATCGTAGTTTTACGGCGACTTTCTGGTTGGTTGCCGAGAAATGTGGATGAGAAAAAAATTCCTGATTCGGTGGAGCATGTGTTGAATGGTTGTGGAAGCCCTAGCTTTTGTTACAAACCTGGGGTGATTTTCCGTTTGGTTGCTGAGAAAACTGGGGATGAAAAAGGGTGATATTAGTTGAATATTGTTGTTGTATTTTGGCTGGAGTAAGATGCAAAGCTGGCTTTTTGCTAAGCTTGATACATGTATAGAGCGTAGTCTGAGTATGTCTGTTTTATTGGATTCTATTAGTTATGCTGGTGTTTATTTTACCCATTTCTATTGTTTCCTTCAGATGGCAGCTAAACCACTAACCAGCGAGGCAATTGCTCTCACTGAGAAGAAAATGGACATGTCATTAGGTGTGTCGATAATTAAATTGCACATTCTGCTAACCTTGTGTTTGGTTTTTTTTTTTTTTTTTAATCTTTTTTAACTAAAATTTGTGCTGTGTGCTTCTAATCTCGACACAGATGATATCATCAAAATGTCCAAAATTAACACAACCAAAGCTAAGAAGCAGCGAGTTCCAGTAAGAAACTTCTTTATTTATTGTACGCCAGTCTATGTAGTTTCTATTCGTTCTAATGATGCTGTTTATGATATCTGGTCCTAATTTTTTTGGAATCTCTTGTAGAATAAAAGTCAAAAATTTATGAATAATGCTGGCCAAGATAAATCCAGAAAGTTGCGTCAGTTCATGGACTCAAGATCCTCTGTTCGACAGGTATGCTGCTAAATTTTGCTTGAATATATTTTGGTTGTTTCACTATGTAAATAATTTTCTGACCTACAGAGTCTTTGATTTTAATGCATTTGTTTGATTTTTAATTTGAGTGCAGGGTGTTCTTGCTCAGAGGAGGTCAAATTTCCAGGGTAACCAATTTCCATTGGCAACTGAGGCCGCAAGAAAGGCTACAGTTGCTCCTATCCGCAACAGGACATTTAATCAAAGTTGGGCCATGAATGTGAATAAGCCAAGGTATTTCATAAGGTGATTATGTATTATTATATGTTGATGGCCACATTAATCTTAACCAGCGGGTTATTGTTGGATGCTACTGATGATGATAATGGTAACGCATGGTGATGTGTAGTGATAAAAACTTCTGTTATTGATTTGTTGCAGGTAAACTGATGCTCTTCTCTAATGTTGATGGCTTAGCATATGCTCTGGTTATAATATTTTGACCGTGCTATTCGTGGAACTCATGTATTTGGTTGGGTGGGTTGTGGGTGGCAAGCTATAGACTTAGGAGATTTCCAAGTGTTTACTATTGCTTTCTTGCACTCAAAAAAGGGTTCCTGCAAATTTAAGCTCGATATCTGGCATATTCGGTTGGGTTACTGTTTGGTCATGAATACAACTTTTGTGCTCTGCTGTTTTGTTTCTTGTTTGGTTGGATGTTCATTGTTGAAGCATTAGAGGAAGAGTGAGTAGATCCTTTTCAGTTTTAAGGTGCTGAATGGGAAACAGTTAAATAAGTTTGATGAGTGGGAATTAACAGAATGCAAGGAAAGTTCTACGGGTGATGAATATAAGGTTTTGGGTAATGCTGTGGCATGAAAATCGATCTTGGGTAAAATTTTTGAAACCTGGAAACCAAATGGGGAGATTGGCTTCATTGACCTGGGCGAGGACTACTTCGTCCTCTAATTGACTGATGGGCAAGATTACAAAAAGGCTCTCACTGGGGGATCTTGGATGATAGCAAACCATTCTCACTGTGTGAGAGTGGACTCTTATTTTAGGTTGATCTTTGCAATGGTCTCGTAAACTGCCTGCTTGGATCTGTTTATTTGTGCCCTATTGATTACATAGACAGTGAAGTACTGCTCCAAATAAGGAAAATGCTTGGTAAAACCATTTCAAAATGATACGACAATTGAACTGGCTATGCGAGCTCATTTATCGAGAATCTACATTCAAATTGATCTTAGTGCTCTCTATATGACCTCAATTAGGATTGTCTAGCATCATTAAAATACACAGGGAAGTACATAAAAGTTGCTCTTCTCTTACCTAAACCTCTTCCAGTGTCTGCTTCTTGCGGCAAATAGGGCGTTAGTGATTTCCCTTTCCATTTTGGTGTAACCCAATATCTGGACCTGCTTTACAAAGTACTACTAAACCCATCGCTCCCCTTGTTCGTTGAGTATCATGTGACTACCCTGATTCTCCCCTTAGAATCACTCGTTTGAAGGTGTATCTTCCTGGAAGGGGTGAAGTTTTGAATCTATTAAGAATGTGGTGTTCAAAATATCTGGCAGCCTACTTGTTCAGCTTTAAACTTTCTTCCACGTGGACAATCTAGCCTAGAGGATCTGGCTTTACATTCTAATGGGAATGAACATGGTGCAGGATTGAAGGCTCTTCATCCCTTTCTTCACTTATGTTAGTGACTCAAGATTCCTTTAGAATACATTTTGTCCTATTTTCTGACACAAATTCTGCATATTCCTTTGCCGTTTTAAATTTGTTTTCCACCAAACAGATAGTCTTTATCTGCTTTCAAGCACCTTGACATGGAATTGGCACAATGACATCGTAGTTTGAAATGGGTCGTCTTGGCAACCGAACATGATTACAAGCTTTTCTATTTAACCCTCCATACTTGACTACCGTGTGCAAGCTGATTGATGTGGAAATTTTGGGGTCCAGGTGTACATATATAGCATAAATGTACATACTATTATTTTCAGGAGCCTCTTGTGGTTGATAGTTGCATTGATGGTTCTGTTGATTTTGTTTGAGTCGAGTTACATGTGGTTGCAATTTTTTATGTTCAAAGCCTGCCAAAGCTATCATGGCATATGCGGGGTGTAATTTCTTCTTCATGCCGAGTTGGAAGTTTTACACAAGAAGACTCCTGTAACTGGGTTTGTGAAGGAGATAGACCAAGTGGTTTTCGTTGGTTGTGCTGCTCCATAGGGTCTCTGCTGGCTGGTTGTGTGGTCCTCACTTCTTTGGTAGGAATTCTTTATAATGATCATACGCAACAGTCCTCCAATTGTACCTTACTTTGTGTGCAGGGTTGGGGCTCCACCAGGTCAGAGGAAGGCTGGAAATGGAGGTTTTGCCATGAAGGTATCATTATTTGTATTCTGCATTAACAGGCTGGAGTAATAGTTATACATTGATGTTCCTATGAAAGAAATGCCATATACATCTACTTAAGGTTTCTGGTAACCCATTGATTACACCCATGATATGTGATTTGAACTCTAGCCATTTTTGCGAGCTGCTAACAACAAAGTCTCGATTTCTTTCAAATGACTGAAAAAGTCATGAAGTGCTGGTTTTATGTAACAGTCTTTGGTGATGGTGACTTTTATGTGTTCCAAAATCATATTGGTTATCCGGTCTTAGAATAGTTTTGGGCTTGCTTGCGTCTGGTTCTCTTTCAGTCTGTTTAGTTGTTTCTTGATTGATGTTTTCAAGTGGAAGGTTTTTAGAGTTACAACTATGTGATTCAGGACAAAATTCACAAGGCTTGTATCCATGTGCAGCAGTCGCAGCAGCAGGTGAAGGTGGTGCCCAAGCAGAGACCTCAAACACTAGATTCACTTTTTGCAAACATGAAAGAACAGAGGGAGAACATGTCCTCTCAACTTCATAAAGCTGGAAGACAAAATGGAGGTGGTGGGCAGCGAAGGTGGCAGTGGGGAAGAGGTCGATTTGGCAATTGATACCAACTACAAATGCACAGCTAGATTGGGAAACTCAGTTTCATTCAAGTAAAAGATGTTTGTGCTTACCGTATGTTTGCATGTTAAACTACTGGGCGGACAGCCAATCTATGTACCTTGGATTCATTGTGAATGTGATTGAACCCGTTTCATCTCATTTTGCAACCACTGTTTTTCTTTTTCTTTTTCTTTTTTAATTCATTTGCATTTGTTCTGTATAGTTATTTTTGTCTATTGAATGGGACAAAGGAACTGACATTTGATCTTGCTGAATAGTATTTGCATTGTGGTTGGGCTTTTCTCTGAGGGTGTTTGAGAAAGGAGTATGGAAGATGCTTGTTTTGGTGCCTTAATTTTCTTGCTTGGTTAGACTATTGATCCATGAACTTGTGTATTTTAAGTTTGTGCTACTGTTATGTATCACAAAAAATCCATGCTCGAATTGGAAGGGGTAAAGCGATCAGCATTGGTGTAGTCCTTTATTTTTTAGCTATTTACTGCACTGATGTGGTGGATAGTTGGTTTACTCTTTTTTATGGTTTCTAAGCCATGGCAACTGGATCTTGTCATAGCAGTGGCGTTTGATGGTTGAACGAGTACCAGGGATTTCATACCATTCAACATTTGCTTTCACGTTGTTGCTTGGTGGTTCAGAAACAATAATGATCAAAGACGTAGGGAGGCAGGCAGGCTGTTCTTGGCAGACAGATTATTCTGTTACATAGACAAGGCTGGTAGCATAGTACCATAATAGCCTTCTCAGGGGTTGGACTTTGTTACTGAAAAATATTATTTTGGTACCAGAGCTCCATTCTTTATCCATTCGCAAAATGACACGGGCTGAAATCATCTTATGATTTTTGTACGGAGGTCTAAGTTTTGGGTTATTTGTAGCCAGAAATAATAAAATGATAGAAATTATTTTTTGGTTCCAAAATTTAATCCTTCTAACAATCAGGCAGGTCACTGTCCAGTTATTTGGGGCGTACAATACTATGACCAATCACTAGAACTCTATTTGACAGTTTTAACATCGATCTTAAATGACTTTATTTTGTTATAATTTAGCAGACTAAGTCGTAATTTCATCTATATGTCATTGTAACCTTGGAAAGATATCCAAATCTATCGTTCATCAAATGTGATTAATATGATGAACCTTGTTCTATATTTTTTTTATTTATTATATGGTGTTTAGACTTTTGTCGATTATATTTTCAAGTTCTGAGTCTGATAATTGTTATATATTCAAAATTTATTAATAAAGTAATTAAATAATTTAAATTCATCATCCTAACAACATGGGGGTGTAGCTCATATGGTAGAGCGCTCGCTTCGCATGCGAGAGGCACGGGGTTCGATTCCCCGCACCTCCATTATTGGAGCTTTTTTAACTCTTGTTTTCTCGGGCGTTATCATTCATGCCCCACAAATCGACGGCACGCTTCACACCATCATCACTCTCCTTTCCCTCCACATTATTTATTCCTAATCCAATCTTCATTGACGCCCAATCACGAATCATCTCTCTCTCTCTCAACACACACACACACACAGCTCTGATTCTGAAGCTCTCCTACAACATCGAAGTGACTATGATTCTTGCATTTGTGCTCTTCTTCATTGTCCAATTATTTCGGCTGCGATTGTGCTCGGAAATGCATAGTATATTGGATATACATATTACACACAGTCGTATGTACGGCATTGTATGAAACTAGAGCAATGTGTACGCAAACTGGATGAATTTCCAGTTTGCTAGACTTGAGTTTCGTGTGCACTGCGAATAACTCAACTTTGAATGCTATATTTGATGTTTCGATGCACTACATTTGCAATTTCTGATATTTTTTGCTTGAATTAATTCATCAAAATTTGATATGAGGACCAGTTGGTGGTGTAAGAGGTCCGTGCATGGAGCGGTGGAACTGCTCTGTATGTGTGTGTGTGGTGAAAAATGAAAAGTAGAACAAAAATCAAACTTAAATACACAGACAAGTATAGTACCAATAGAACATGTTTAGGCTGCTGATTGAGGGAATTGCCTAAAAAGGCAAATTGAAGTGATCTAGGGTTGAAACACAATGCACAATTTTCCATCTCTTGAGATATCGTTAATCATTTATAGCAATCACGAAAATTTCATTCATCTTCCAATATAGTTTCGCCTAAATTTTATTAGGAATTCTTGTCTAGAAATACGTTATTTATACTCGTCTTGGGCTATTATGGTGGCAGCTTCCTCAATTTTATCTCAGTATGAGATACTTCAATCTTGCATAAAAGATTTGAAAGAAGCGGCTGAAAATGATGTATCCTTCTTTAGAACTCATGAATTTTTGTGGTCTACTACTTCCCTAGTTAGTTGTTTTGATCTGAGTGGCCTGATAGTGGAAGTTTACATTGAAAGTTGATGGTGTTTTGCTATGTGCAGTGTTTGTCAGCGCTATCAACGCACATGAGACATGACGTAACTTCTGTGAAATCAATTCTCTCTATGTCATTTTAGCTCTTGAGATTTGAGTTTTTGATTACATGCATCAACTTAATCTATATTCCCTTATGCTTGAAGGATGTAAACAACGAACTAGAAATACATGCACATTCGAGAGCTTGATAGACATTGTTGAACTCTTTCTCCAATATAGAAGATCCACCGTTAACATGCCATCGATATTTTGTCTTCATAAGGTCTTCTGGTCGAGTCATCTCATGTGTTTCTTACCCCCACTCAGTCACTATGTTTGCCATATGTTCCCTTATTTGTTTCTCTCTTCATTTGAAACAGAGTTGCATGTGAGGGAGAGTGTTGAGAGCTTAATATATGCCGAGCTCATTATGTAATTATTTCAGCTTTCGGGGGCAAATGGTAGCCTAACTCATATTTTACAATATTTTTTCTTATTCCCTGTGACAAGTTCAAGAACATTCTGGGACTGACCTGTGAGGCAAATGGCATTATATTCCTNTCATTTCAGCTTTCGGGGGCAAATGGTAGCCTAACTCATATTTTACAATATTTTTTCTTATTCCCTGCGACAAGTTCAAGAACATTCTGGGACTGACCTGTGAGGCAAATGGCATTATATTCCTCTTTTCACTAGTTTTTGACACTTGATTACACGTGATGTTTCATTTCCAGAGGTTGGTTTTTGTTTCTTGTACAGGTTTGTATGTTGGTTCGTATGTGCTAATTGGAGTGAAAAATTTCTGCCTTGGGAGAACCTTTGTATCGGCAACACCTTGTGAGCATTTCTAGCACTCCATAATTCTATCACAGTTTTGAATTTATTAGAAAAAGGATAATGGTTAAAGGCAACTAGTCTCGAACAAACATATTTATTGTTTTTTAGTGTTAGGAGACGTAGAACCAAGAGCATGCGCAAAGGCTTGCAAAATTATCTCAAAAAACAGATGGAACTGATGGAAACCTTCGCAAGAATATACTCTGTGTAACAAATTACCAAAAGAAGAAATACAACACTTGCAAATATTTGAACTCCTCTGATCTTTATGTCATAACGTAATGCATGATGTTCAATGATCAACATTGGGGTAGGCGGTAGAGATGGACTCTGATGTTCTTGCTGTCGAAGTGGCTAGCAATGCTGTATGTGTCACTTTGTCCATATTTCTTCACTTGATTTGTTTTCTGTATGAAAAACTATCAGCTTATTGGGCAGCTCTTTTGAGATACCCTTGTTACTTTTATCTTAAATGGAACACGAATTGCCTTGCCTTCAACATTTCACTCAGCGGTTATTGAACTCAGTTATTCGTGTGTGCTGGAACAGATAGAGCAAGTCATAGAGCTTGAAACTCTTATAGAGGCATGCAGCATGCTCTCATTACTCAGAGCATTTCCATTGGCTTTTAGCATATGTGAGGAATTATAAATTAGCCTAATCATGATTGTTTAACCAATCAAGGAAAATGTGACTACAAAAGATGAAATGATTTTCAGTTCAACTCATTTTCAAGGGCTTTTCTAAACAAGGCTCGGTGACTTCTTAGGTAGTCTCCCTTCATTTTTCAAAATGGGAAGGATAATTTAGGTTGTATCTCCCAGATATGCAGGATCAATTCAAACACTAATAATTTATAAATTGATGCAGAGATGGGGTCTCCAAGGCTNGGAGTCTCCCTTCATTTTTCAAAATGGGAAGGATAATTTAGGTTGTATCTCCCAGATATGCAGAATCAATTCAAACACTAATAATTTATAAATTGATGCAGAGATGGGGTCTCCAAGGCTCTGAGCTGACGCAAATGACGTGGCAGAGAGACATCTTACTTCAGAACCCATGCCCACAAAATGGACAGTAGACTGATAATTGGTAATTTACCTGAGTCAGCATTATGTTTTTGATGGTTTATCATCTCTCTCTAATCGTACTTCTCTACTCCCAGCGATTTCCTTCATTGGATCAATAGAACATTTCTAATGACTGCTGCCCAATATTGTGTAATTCAGCGGCCTACATGAAGAAGAAATTCAATTATGCATGGGCATATGTAGCAAAGAATGATGTCTTCACATGGTAAGTGCAACTTTCTTTGTATAACATAAAGTATTCCTTAATTGATGGGATGTGTTACCATTAATGTTATATTCTAATATTTAGATAGTAAATTCATGTAGCATAACACTGTTGGTGTAAATAAACTTTGGATTAACTAATATACAAGTACGTAAGCATGGGTGAACTTGACATAAATTGTACATAATCCACATTTCAAATGAAAATTTGTTATAGATTTTCACGAGTTATTCGTAAACTTAAAAGTATAATTTGCGGGCATGAGTCATGAATTTGCTAATACAATATTCTACTTAGTGAATAGTAAATACACGACGAATATTTATCTTGGCTGTAAAGATTTGAATAACCAAAATTACTACTACTCTTTAGACAGATGAAATGGCTGAAGTTTTCATAATCCACACTAAACATGAAAAGCTTTATAGATTCTAGAAGAAAGTAACAATCGTGACAACTTTCTTTATTTAGTATAACTTTGCCTCAATTGATGGGATATGCGGCCATTAATTTTGTTATTGAGATAAACAATAAAAAATTATCCAGTGGCTTGATACCTTATCTTTATTTTGGTTAAAAAATTCAAGAACTGAAAAAAAAAAAATTGGATTCAAAAATCTCTAGGACAGAAGTACGTTTTGCTTTGTATTCGTAATTACACGTAAATGTAGATAGAGATTGGCCTTGTACCTCTTATAGGGTTCAAGTACTCGACAAGATAATTTTAGAACGTCATAAAATCATGGGAGTTGTTGGAACAACATTCAATTTTTGGCATGTCAATCCTGTTAAAACCAGCTAACTTGTGTTAATCTGTTTATAATTCTATTGCTCCGATTGATACGATAAAAAAATAGAAGAATGAAAAGTTGAAATGATAGATAAAACATCATATTTGATCAAGAAGAAAAAAAGGAATAATAGAAAAGTGAATATATTAGTTTTCCTTTAATTCATCAAAATCAATCCCTCCAAAATTATGAAGAAAATGGACGAAAAATTAATTATATGTGTTAAAATATATGTTATTTGTCTATATATCATTTGATGTATACATATATCATATTTATCAATTATATATTATGTATTTATATTTTTTCATCCTTCTATTTTTTATGAATATTAAACACTTTCTTTCTTTCTTTAGAGGATAGAAAGTGTATCAATCCTATTTTTCATATTTCTTACCAAACGGAGCATAACTAATTCGTCAATTCAGCAATCAATTCCCAGAAAAAAATAAGATAGTTATATCAAAGATAAAATAGCTTTTTGAATTTCTTGTATATGGTGCAACAGTGGAATAAAATTGTGATTCTATTAGCTTGGTTGAAAGAATAGTAGAAAGTAGAAACCCTAGGGTATTTTGACCGATAACAAGAACGAGTTATATATTCAGATGTTTTAAATTCGAATTTTGATAAGTTCTTAAGGTCAGACCATGAATGATTTATTTCTTATGAATACTCTAATCTCAGTGTAGAAAGTTTGTTTTTAATCAAATTGGAGAGGATATTAGTAAACATAAATGTAAAAAAAGAATGCATAGTAGAACTTTATTTACTTTTTTGAAAAACAGTATAACCAAATTTCTATAATTGTAGATATTTGGACCAAATTTATAAAATTCAACGAAAGTCATAACTGGGAAATGGACACAAATTGTTAAGGGTACTCTAAAGGCTGAATAGACCACAGAAAGTTCTATTTTTTTATGGTTTTACAACGAAAATGGATTGGCAAAATTTTCTGTACTTAGAATCTGTTATCGGAGACCACCGAGTGGGGTCCGGNAGAAGAAAAAAAGGAATAATAGAAAAGTGGATGTATTAGTTTTCCTTTAATTCATCAAAATCAATCCCTTCAAAATTATGAAGAAAATGAACGAAAAATTAATTATGTGTTAAAATATATGTTATTTGTCTATATATCATTTGATATATACATATATCATATTTATCAATTATATATTATGTATTTATATTTTTTCATCCTTCTATTTTTTATGAATATTAAACACTTTCTTTCTTTCTTTAGAGGATAGAAAGTGTATCAATTCTATTTTTCATCTTTCTTATCAAATGGAGCATAACTAATTCGTCAATTCAGCAATCAATTCCCAGAAAAAAATAAGATAGTTATATCAAAGATAAAATAGCTTTTTGAATTTCTTGTATATGGTGCAACAGTGGAATAAAATTGTGATTCTATTAGCTTGGTTGAAAGAATAGTAGAAAGTAGAAACCCTAGGGTATTTTGACCGATAACAAGAACGAGTTATATATTCAGATGTTTTAAATTCGAATTTTGATAAGTTCTTGAGGTCAGACCATGAATGATTTATTTCTTATGAATACTCTAATCTCAGTGTAGAAAGTTTGTTTTTAATCAAATTGGAGAGGATATTAGTAAACATAAATGTAAAAAAAGAATGCATAGTAGAACTTTATTTACTTTTTTGAAAAACAGTATAACCAAATTTCTATAATTGTAGATATTTGGACCAAATTTATAAAATTCAACGAAAGTCATAACTGGGAAATGGACACAAATTGTTAAGGGTACTCTAAAGGCTGAATAGACCACAGAAAGTTCTATTTTTTTATGGTTTTACAACGAAAATGGATTGGCAAAATTTTATGTACTTAGAATCTGTTATCGGAGACCACCGAGTGGGGTCCGGGGGAGTATCAACCCAATTTCAAAGTTCAAATTTTAGAATTTACATTACAATTTAATGGTTGATCGCTATATTATTTTAACTAACCTTATTCTTGAGAGGAATAACGGACATGTTTAATAGTCTCATGATCTCACCAATAAAAATCTATCGGAGTAGTTNAAGAACGAGTTATATATTCAGATGTTTTAAATTCGAATTTTGATAAGTTCTTGAGGTCAGACCATAAATGATTTATTTCTTATGAATACTCTAATCTCAGTATAGAAAGTTTGTTTTTAATCAAACTGGAGAGAATATTAGTAAACATAAATGTAAAAAAAGAATGAATAGTAGAACTTTATTTACTTTTTTGAAAAACAGTAGAACCAAATTTCTATAATTGTAGATATTTGGACCATATTTATAAAATTCAACGAAAGTCATAACTGGGAAAATGGACACAAATTGTTAAGGGTACTCTAAAGGCTGAATAGACCACAGAAAGTTCTATTTTTTTATGGTTTTACAACGAAAATGGATTGGCAAAATTTTCTGTACTTAGAATCTGTTATCGGAGACCACCGAGTGGGGTCCGGGGGAGTATCAACCCAATTTCAAAGTTCAAATTTTAGAATTTACATTACAATTTAATGGTTGATCGCTATATTATTTTAACTAACCTTATTCTTGAGAGGAATAACGGACATGTTTAATAGTCTCATGATCTCACCAATAAAAATCTATCGGAGTAGTTTTTGAGCTATTTTCTTTATTCCCACCATTTTTTTAACCAGCAAAAAAAAAAAAATTCTTATTGGACATATATATAGAGTTGATAACTGATAAAAGAATTGTGTCTTATTGAATTTTATAATATAATTTATTTGAATCATGTCACGTCAAAAATTACTAAACTCATATTGATAGTTTTGTCTCCAATTGCATGTCGGAGATTAGGGGTCACGTTCATATCCTTAATTATAATAGTAAATTAAACAAACAACCCTTAAGTTATATAGTATGTTAATTAAGCTATTAAACTTATTTATTTGTCAATTTAAGACATCAACTATATAATNTATGTACTTAGAATCTGTTATCGGAGAGCACCGAGTGGGGTCCGGGGGAGTATCAACCCAATTTCAAAGTTTAAATTTTAGAATTTACATTAAAATTTAATGGTTGACCGCTATATTATTTTAACTAACTTTATTCTTGAGAGGAGCAACGGACATGTTTAATAGTCTCATGATCTCACCAATAAAAATCTATCGGAGTAGTTTTTGAGCTATTTTCTTTATTCCCACCATTTTTTTAACCAGCAAAAAAAAAAAAATTCTTATTGGACATATATATAGAGTTGATAACTGATAAAAGAATCATATCCTTAATTATAATAGTAAATTAAACAAACAACCCTTAAGTTATATAGTAAGTTAATTAAGCTATTAAACTTATTTATTTGTCAATTTAAGACATCAACTATATAATTTAATTCAATGTAGTTTTTGAGTCTATATTTATTGTTAATTTAAACATAGAGTCCCACGTGCACTTCGGGTATATAGGTTTAACGATCTCAATTCTTAACTCACGTGAAGGTTTTCATTAAAACTAATAGTGAATTTAGATGGGGGAGTTATATGTATTAAATTAATATAAAAATTAATTTAAAGGCTTAATTGAAATAAATGACATAATTTGGGGGGTCATCATCTGTATAGTTATCTCTAATTAGTAATTGGTAAAGAAGTCAATTCATATATTATCGCGCCACGCCGCAGACAGAGGCCGGGGCTTGGGATTTCTCTACAAACAGGAGGAGAATTCCCTACAATGTCGGTTTAACCTTAACCACGTGGCCGACCTAGTCGTCTTCCCCGAAGAATTTTTTTAGAATTATTCTTGAAATCACCTGTACTTCCATATTTAGTCCTCGTATTCACGTGCATACAAAGAATCTCTGGTCAAAATGTCCTAAATCAAAAAGCGTCAAACCCAATTCTCCTCTCCTTCATTTACAGATCCAAGGTGGAGGAGGAGATTTGATTCTCATACACAGTTGAAACTATGGCGCAGAGTGTATTGGTGACAGGTGGTGCGGGGTACATTGGAAGCCACACCGTGCTTCAGCTATTATTGGGAGGATATAAACCCGTTTTGGTCGACAATCTCGATAACTCTTCCGATATTGCGATCAAGAGAGTCCAAGAACTCGCTGCTGAATATGGCCACAACCTTTCCTTTCATCAGGTTTGTTGCAAGTTTACTTCAATCGCACAGTACCTGTGTGTGATTTAAATTTATGTACTTGTACATATATATATACATAATCTATATGGGGGGATTAGAGGGGGATTGGATTGAAATTGCGAATGGGGTCCATTTATCCTTGGTTTGGGTAATTCGATTGGGATAGGATTTTCGTTGGGTTTCAAAACATCGGCCGTATGTTTTGAAGGCTACAATCTCATCTGCATGTGATAAAGAAATCCCTTCTGCTGTGACGGATTGTGAAATTGTGAAGTAGGATTACCTGTGTAAATTCTAAAATACCCTCTACAGTAAAATTGTAGAGTTTTTACCACCATTCCCTTCATTTTCCTGATCAGGCGGGTTATCAGACTGCCCAGNCTACAGTAAAATTGTAGGGTTTTTACCACCATTCCCTTCATTTTCCTGATCAGGCGGGTTATCAGACTGCCCAGCTCCATTATAATGGTCGATTCATCTCCTCATGAGGCGACTGCGATGGGCTAGTATCAGGCGGGGGAATGCTTTCCAGATGCTGGGTAGTATCAGGCGACTGCTCAGCTCCCTTAGTCCGTCTCTCTCTCTCTCTGTATTTCATGTTTGTCTTTTTCTCTCCCTGATGTAGAAGCCGAAGCATCTGGACCTATCTCCACAGTTTGCAAGTGAAGATGACCACTTTAAACAACTTCAAATCTAGTTAATGCGGCTGTGGTTTGATTTTTTTGCACTTTACCCCCGGTCATTATTTAAAATTTACCACATAACTCTGTTATAATTTTGAAGTAAAATAATACTGTTATAAATTCTCTCATAATTGCCAAAATGTAGCATGGAAGGTCATGATTTGAAAGTAAGTGTGGGAAAATATTCGGTCTAATGAAATGGTTTGGGTCACATTAAAAATAATAATTGTTCTGGGGAGTTGCGTGTCATTACAAATATTAAATTTTATGATTTTAATATTTTTGCTCATCCTTTCCTTTCCTTATACAAAAAATGTAAAAAAAATTAACGTATTAATTAAAACAACATAATTTAAATTGACATGATGTGTGCTAGTGCTTCATGCAATAATATTAAAATGCCCTACGATTTTGCATAATAAATTGCATTTTGGTCATTAAAAATATTAAATATGGTTCGGATTAATTTTGCTCTTTATTGAAAATTAACAATTAAGTTTATTATTAAACACACAAGTTCGGATTTTCAACAAATAAACAAATAACGACTTAGATTTGAGTTGTATCGATATGTTGTATTATTTTTGTGTTGGAAATAAATTTTTTTTCCATGATGCATATGATTTTTGTGATAAAAAGTGTACTGTACAAATTAAATGAAATAATTTTTACAAAATAAAAATATGCAATAGTGTATATAAATGCGTAATATATTTAATAATATTTTTGAATGTAAAATAGACAATACTAATGGATTGAATTTTTTTTTCATTCCATTCCAAACATGGTNTATATAAATGCGTAATATATTTAATAATATTTTTGGATGTAAAATAGACAATACTAATGGATTGAATTTTTTTTTCATTTCATTCCAAACATGGTGTAGAATTGGATCACATTGTTGTATACAAGAGTAAAATGGTCTTTTTACCATGACTTAGCTTCACATGTGAATGGGACCCACAAACCAAATAAAACCTATCCAAACATGAGATAGTATTAGAATCTCATATTTATAATCCTCCAATCCGGACTACTTTACATTAGATTGAATTGAGTTCGGATTCAAATCCAATCCAATCCAATCCTTNGGATTGGATCACATTGTTGTACACGAGTAAAATGGTCTTTTTACCATGACTTAGCTTCACATGTGAATGGGGCCCACAAACCAAATAAAACCTATCCAAACATGAGATAGTATTAGAATCTCATCTTTATAATCCTCCAATCCGGACTACTTTACATTAGATTGAATTGAGTTCGGATTCAAATCCAATCCAATCCAATCCTTTTATGGTGATCCAAGCACCACCTATGAGTTTCCATGGACTTGTGTTCTGATGAGAAACAGTGGGTCATCATCTATGTGTGCTTGATACAGTGTTTGATATCTCTTACTGATTGATATGATCTGATTGATATGATCCTGTCCTATTGATGGAAACAAATAAAGTTATTTTGGGATTATATGCTTACAAGAAGACAATTCTATGTATATAAAAAAAGTTAATGGTAACTAAAAAGTTTTAATTTCTTTGATTTTTTGCTAAAACCACGATTGTATCACTATTCTGAACCCTTCTCTAAGTAATCTGGGATTTAAAGTTTGTAATTTGGTTTATATACTTTCCATATACTCTATTATGTAACATACACATTTCTTTTAAATAAATGTAGCTTATATGTGGGTAGATTCTATATTAGGTGTGTCGATTGGTGGCTAGGTGGAAGAAAGCCTTAAACATTTTTTCAAGTTTCTGGATCCTTGTAAAGTTAGGTTTTTCTTTCACTTGGACCTTCTAGACTTGCCCTCCAATAGATTTTCATTAAGGGATTTAGATTGTACTCATTCCAATCACTAGACTCAAAGAGCCCGGTGTTGTTATTAATTGTAGAACATTAAGGCTTTCTGGGATGGACTTTCAAGAAATCTTTATGTTGGTGAATGTACCATAGTCACCCTACTATATAAATGCGTGGGAAATTGTGGCGCACTGGTCTGTGCTTGATAAGTTTGTTATTGAGAGAGAGAGATGGCTAGATGGATGGTTACATGTATGCGNGTCACCCTACTATATAAATGCGTGGGAAATTGTGGTGCACTGGTCTGTGCGTGATAAGTTTGTTATTGAGAGAGAGAGATGGCTAGATGGATGGTTACATGTATGCGAGGGTGAGAATCTGTATTTGCATTCTGTTATTTTGTGTTGCAAGGATTATATCTCAATCATGGTTCAAAGTAGCGGTATCGGCCATGAACTCGGAGGGTACTGATACACATCGGTCGCGGCGTCGCGGCGCGGTATCGGACGATACGCTCAAAATGCAAGATAGAAGCTCCAAAAAAATTTAAAAAAATTCTAAAAAAATAGACATTATCATTTATGCATCATATATCCACAATACATCTAAAAACACATTAAACATAATTAAAATGAAACATAAAATCACGAGCGAAAATAATTATCATTATCAATGTTCAATGTAGACATTTAGGAACATATTGAGCTGTAATCATTGCCACATTGAACGACGATGAGGTTCAAAATCGTCGTTATTGTCTCTAGGATAATACAAATTATGGTACTGTCTACCATAAGAATTAGAGTACAAGTGTGAATACAGGTCTGATTGGGTTGGTTGAATTGATTGACTAGATGACCCATAATCAGAGTAGTGTGACTGTGGAGGTTGTACTGGCTGGTTCCCATACTGATAGTACCCAAAACCACGATATTCACGGCCACTACTAGCAGAAGACTGATCATATCCATAAAAGTTGACACTATCCGATGTTGTGTTAGAAGATCCATCATGATGTCTCCTTGGAACACGATCATAGTAACCACCAGTACTAGTACTAGTAGATCTCTCAAGATGCGTAGGGCGATGGCCATAATGCCCAGCACTATTAGTACTAGTAGACCTCGAAAGCTGCGAAGGGATACCATATCCATATGATCCATGTGAATAGCTAGATTCTATACCACTACTTTGATGATGTCCGTAAGACATGTATCCTTCATATGATGTCAATCCCAAATTCTGCATATGATCGTCAATATCTTGTCGACTAAGTGAATGATGGTAGCGTCTATGGGAATAATCATCACCAATGGAAGAGTTTAAATTCCTTCGTTGTTTCATTGCCCCTGGTCTATATCCATGGTCTGTATCCTGTGTGGCATAGTAATTGTCTTGCCCCTGTGCCCATGACATACCGCCAGGTAGCTGAGTATCACTACCATCTCCAGTAGTCCCTCCACCATCACTCTTGTTGCTCTCATCTTTATCTCCACCATGATTACTAGCATCATCATCATCAGTACTACTACTATCACCACCACCACCACCATAAGTATCAGCAACATTATTATCATTATCATCATCAGAAGAAGAATCACTAGAACTAACAAAAATTCTCATAGCCTTTTTACCCTTATTAGTTGGCCTCGTATCTTTTTCAGATCTTCTGGTAGTGGCATAATTGCTAGNTTGTTGTCTACTGGTTTTATTATTTTAATTGATGTCTCTAACATATAATTATGTCGTATGCGCAGATTGATCTTCGGGATAAGCCTGCACTAGAGCAACTTTTTGCTTCAACAAAGTAAGGTTTACTGTGTTATATGATTTATTATATATTTAGGCAATGTATCACTGAATAGCTCCATTGAAAGAAACAAATCCAGACTTGTTAGTCCATTAAGTGCGTCAGTGCGTGTACCAACCATTTCCCACTGTTTATTACTTGGTATGACAAATAAATGATGTATGAAATCCAATTATATGGGCGTAACTAACATGAAAAAGATATGTTTTCCCCAAAAAAGAGAAAATAAATTCGTGTATGCACTATGTAAGTCTTTCTTTGCATGAGTCCCACTTGCTTGACTTTATACCCTCTGATTTCTTCTGTTCCTGGCCACCTGGTTTGCACACAGGTTCAATGCTGTCATCCATTTTGCTGGATTGAAAGCAGTTGGTGAAAGTGTGGAGAAACCCTTTATGTATTATAACAATAACATCATTGGTACCATTACATTGTTGGAAGTCATGGCTGCCCATGGATGTAAAAGGGTACATCCCTTATGCATACTTCATACTATGTAGCTCGTTTGAATCAGTACTTAGGAAATGTGTTATTGGGGTTAATCTCAAGCTTATGGTTTCCTCTCTGAATCCCCTCATTTTAATCTTTGCCATCCAGCTGCTGATTGATTGGAGGGAGAAAATAATAATTGCAATTTATGGAGAAATTTTAGGATTTCATGTCTTTTAGACGCATATTATGTAGATTATCAGGTTGTGTGTAGCAGACATACATGCTTTTCGTACAACTTAATTTTGAAGTTGTTCATGTCAATACATACTTTAAATGCTTCATCTTCAACCTGATTTATTATGGTTGAATTGCTAGCCTGCATAACAAAAAAAATTGTGTGGAAATCAGAAGCGCAGCTGCTTTGCCCCTGCCCAAGGTTAATTTTGATATAAATACCTGAACTCTTCATCACAAGGTTTCTTAATCGTGTGTATGCCTTTGATGCATGACTCTATGGCTGTTTAGATAAGACTGTTGGTTAAAGCTCAAATGGTTGCATTAATAAAGTTTACGAATCCATTTAATTCTCTCGTCATTTTAATCAGTATTCCTGCCAAATGGTTGTGTTTTTAGCTTCTAGATTTTCCATTAAGCGGTCCTTTTTTCTTGCAATCCTTATATTATGAGATGTTGGGATTTGATGCCTCATAAATTTGAATGTTTAAACATTTCAGCTCGTTTTTTCATCATCGGCTACTGTTTATGGTTGGCCAAACGAGGTTCCATGCACAGAGGAGTTTCCCCTATCTGCTGCAAATCCATATGGGCGAACCAAGGTATATTTAAGTCTTCAACTCATGCATGTTTTTATCATAAAACTGGGCCAGACTAAAGAAACATGTGTAATGTTGCATTTCGAAGAACAAAGAGGTTTTAGTATTTTCAGTTGGAACTTGTAGCATGTGTTTGTCTTTTGCGGTTCCATCATATGACTTATTTTCAGTATATCTGATATAATATTACCTTATAATCTTTGTTCCTTTCAGCTTTTTATTGAAGAGATATGTCGTGATATCTATCGTTCAGACTCCGAGTGGAAAATCATATTGCTGCGGTACTTCAATCCAGTGGGTGCACATCCAAGTGGCTATATAGGAGAGGATCCTCGTGGTATCCCAAACAATCTCATGCCCTTTGTGCAGCAAGTTGCCGTTGGAAGGCGGCCTTCATTGAATGTTTTTGGGACTGACTACTCAACAAAGGATGGTACAGGGGTATGCCTTTTGCACTGTGGTTCCTGATTTCTATGTGTAGTGTTTAGTGTGATGCTGTATGTATGTGTAGGTCCCTTCATTTTCAGCATTTTATTTTGGCGAATCTCTACTTGTGCTACCCCAATCTAGGTCTCTACGGTAGCTGGCTCTGCCTATATCCTCTAGGCTGGATAGCTTGTTTAATACAGATTTCAATATTTAACTGCTTGTATTCTTGATCTTTCTGATTCATTGTGATTTTGCTATGTCTCAATCCTGCTCCCACCCCCAATTCCCCACCCCTTCCTTGAAAAAATAAATAAAAGACACTAAACGATGCAAATTTAATATTTTTTCATTGCTGAAAAATTGGTAACATTTAAATTCTATGTATTCTTTTGTGCCCTGTTTTTTGAATCTGTTCATTCAAGTTGGATTATCAACAGAAGTGTCATAGACTTAATAGTGTAGATCAAATGTTAGACATGAAAGTTCATCCAGGATTTTACTGGTTTTGGGTTCATCCTATCTTTGGAATGTCTAAGTGATCAATAGCATGGTGAAATATAAATTGTGATGAAAATATATGAAAACATCATATACTTTACATGAAGAATACAGATGAATTTTGATTCCTATGGTGCATGTAAAGCTTTTTGAAAAAATTGAAGTTTTGTTATTATCTAAATATATCCTCATGTATTGTTTCTAAAATGTCTTCTGCAGTTAATTGAANCATTTTGAAAAAATTGAAGTTTTGTTATCTAAATATATCCTCATGTATTGTTTCTAAAATGTCTTCTGCAGTTAATTGAAGTTTTATCTTGATGGTGCATATTTTTTTCCACTGCTCAGGTGCGTAATTACATCCATGTCGTGGATTTAGCAGATGGGCATATTGCTGCATTGAACAAGCTATCTAATCCTTCTATAGGTATGTTCTCTTAGATTAATATCTTCATTCTTTCTGGTGTCTTTTTCATGGACAAACCTGTTCCCACTAGTCTATTGATGCTATTACATAATTAAATTTATGTACTTCAGAGGATCATGGGATATACCTACCCTCCTATTGTTTTAAGGCTCTTTCTCCTTGGGCATGTGAGGTAGTCCACAGAACCTGGGTATAAAGTTACTTTTGGTGTTAGGGTTGATCTGAGACCCGTGTGTACTAATTTCGAAGCCTCCTAATAACTCGGCTACACTGTGCTGGTACTCATGACATTAAATTTGAAGATGTCACTTGAGCAGTTCTTGAATTGTGTAGCTAAGAACATAACTTCTGTTGGATTAAGTACTGGGTTAAATTGTTCTATTACTCTGCTTTCTCTATAACTAATTGCTAGAGTTTAACAATTTGAAGTCTATCGAAACATGTAAGCATAGGCTGTGAAGTATACTACTTGGGAACTGGGAAAGGAACATCATTTTTGAAAATGGTAGCAGCATTTGAGATTCTGTTGGATTTAAGTAATGGGTTAAATTGTTCTATTACTCTGCTTTCTCTATATCTAATTGCTAGAGTTTAACAATTTGAAGTCTATTGAAATATGTAAGGATAGGCTGTGAAGTATACAACTTGGGAACTGGGAAAGGAACATCAGTTTTGGAAATGGTAGCAGCTTTTGAGAAGGCATCTGGAAAGGTATTAATTGTCGAAGGTTGTAGTTAAGTTTTTTGATTTTACAAATTTGGAATTGTATTACCTTTCTTTACTTGCAATTTTTGAATCTGCTCCAAGACCTGAGTTTTATGTTGAGTTTTGCTCACATCTACATGTTTATCTATGAATGCTCATATGTATGAATGTTTATATGTTCTCTCCGTATTAATGATGAGTAATAATGCTAGCCTGAATAAATTGTTCAGATCAGTCACCTAATTAATATTTAATCTAATTAATATTTAATCCATCAAATTAACATTCAATTTCATCAATTAAATCTTCAATTTATTAAATTAACATTCAAATTCAACTAGTTACATTAAATTAATCAAATTAACTTTTAATTTCATTAAATTAATTACTCTAAATTAACTTTCTAAATTAAACAATAAAGATTCAATTTAATAACATATAATTTTATCTAATAAGCATTCAAAAAGTTAATATTAAATTAATCAAATTAATGNCATCTCAGGAAATGTTTGGTTTGAAATTTAGTAGTATACCGATTCAATCCTCATGAGTCCAATTTCATATTCAAACCAGGGTTTTTAAATGGAGTTTCTGCGAATTCTTCTTGAAAGTTTTACAGTGTTTGGCAAAGAGATGTTGTTATTTTGAAATTCCAAAGTTTGATGAGAAATATGGTACTTGTAGAAACCAGACCGAAGTGAGACTAGGCACTTTTGTGCCATCTTTTTTGAATAAGGTGTCCACCAATACCAATGAAGCTTTGTATAATCCTATAAAACTTTCTTAATTTGTTAGCAGAATCCTATAATTGGATATGTGGACATTCTTAATTGGTGCAATACTTTTGGAAGAATCTTAGGTCCCCTTTATGTTTCTTAAAGCTTTGTAGTATGCAGATAAGACTCCTGCAATCTTCCATCCTGGTTGAGGATTATATTCCTTCCAAAAGGATGTTCAAATGAAAGGAAAAAGAAATAATGGTCTTCTATGGAATGTGTAGTCTTTTCTCTTCTAGTTGGGCACTGATTGTTCTCAGCTTGCCTAATTTATTTTTTGTTCTTTATTATTCCAGAAAATTCCCCTTGTGATGGCTGGTCGGCGACCTGGTGATTCTGAGATTGTATATGCATCAACAGAAAAAGCAGAACGTGAATTGAACTGGAGGTTTGTGTTGACTACCATGCAAATCAGTGTGCATCTATTTATATGTTTTCGAATTACTTTTAATAAACAGTTAGCAGTGCTGGTGGTACCCGATTTTTCTTATATCACTAGATTTCTTTGTAAAAAATGACTAGACTACTTTGTAAAAATGAGAACCAAGATATGACAAAGCCGTCATTCAAAGTGCCATGAGTAATCAGGCACAGGACTCTGAAAATTGGTAGTCTAAATATTGTCTCATATTTTTCTGCCACTTCAGTTCGAATACTTTATAGCATATGGTGTGTATGCAGAGCAAGCTACGGGATTGAGGAGATGTGCCGAGATCAGTGGAACTGGGCCAGCAAGAACCCTTATGGCTATGGATCTCCAGACTCTACTGCTTGACTCATAGCTCTGTGATTGTCTACTCTCCAAATTGCATTACTGTTGTGGTCGTGTATGATTCTGCAGTTCTTATACCGTCTGCCTGTGCACCACCAGTCCTGGGGAAGGATTTGAATTTGGGGTTGCAGAAGTAGTAACAGGGTTATAAAATTGTTTAAAACGGAACTAAACAGTAAAAATGCACTTTAGTCGCAACTTCTTATTTATGTGGCTAGTGTCTCAGTGAATCAAAGCATATATCAGTGGAAACTTTCTCATAGTTAATGATGCTTGTGTTTTGGTTGTGCTGTGCCCTTACTTTGATTAGATGAGAATGATGGTATGCTCTGCCATTCTTGGCACCAGAAGGTGGTTCATGGTTAAGGCTTCGTTATGGACCTGCAGCGATGATGTCCCGAACCTTGCACAATAGCTGTGGCACCAACTGGCCGTGGAGCGGCCGCCAGGATATGAGCCAGGTTGCGATTTGTAATTTGATATTTAGCAGTCATGAAGCTTATATGAATTTGATATTTTAATTTTAATATAAAATTTGCTGGATGTAAATATTGTTGACAAATGATGTGATTGTACCTGCATGGCTTGTCATGCACGAAGAAAATATTAGCAAGCGGTGATATTATGTCATTATTGATACGTGATGTCATCGTTAAATAACAAATTAACATATTAGTAAATAAATTTTACTTAATTTAGTAATTATCATGTATGAAAATAATTATTAAGTAAAGTTTACTTTGTCGAATCGTAAGTCTATTATTACCGCAAACTAACAAATATTCAGAAAAAAAAATAGTTTTCTCTCTAGCAAGAGGGTCACGGACATGAATAAAAATATTCGGTAATCATCAAGTATGCAGCAGCACTCTCAGGTGACGTTCAAATTTAATAGAAAGTCATCACACCAGTTATTTGTCAGATAATATAATATTAATTAATTTTTTAAAAATTGACATCACAAAGAATAATAACTAATTAAATATGTATAATATTTTACATAAAATAGTACTGTTACTGTTATATGGTGAAGGGGAATATTATGCTTACCAAAAAAATATATCAAATTTTTCACCTTAAATAAGGTCGTACAGTCTCCGTCGTTGAATATTAATAAGACTTACTTATTTGATAATAAAAAAATTATATAACGTCAATGGGAATGAAAATTTAATAAAAAATTTAGTAAGCATATCCTTATTTCAAGGGTCCTACTAGGGTACCGAGAGTAACTTTTCGGTATAGTACCGAAAAAACAAAATTTATCGTAGATGTATAATGAAGAACTTTCAACAGTTGATGAAGTCTATCACTTTTTACTGGCTATCCACTAAGTCTTACAAATTCATAAAAATAAAAAAAAACTCATATAAGAATGAAGAAAAAAATGGAGTTGCAGAGTTATTTTTATCCCTATGAACCATTCTAGAGATTATAAATTATTTAGTAGGTTGAGATTATAGTAATCTTATTTTTAATAAAAAAAAAATACACTAAAAACTTTTTTTAGAATAAAATTAGAGGAGTAAGGTTCCAATTGGGTAATTGAGGTTTGGTTAGTAAGAATATCATATTAAGTATGCAAGGTTACCACTTTTTTTTGGTAAGATTACCATTTTTAGGAAAGATTATCACTCTTGAGAGTAAGATTACACTGTTGAGATAAGAGTATCAATTTTTTAGTTAATATTACTATTTTTTTGATTAAGATTATCACTTTTTTTTTTATTAAGATTACATTATTGAGGTACGAGTACTATTTTTTTGGTTAACATTATAATTTTTTTTTTGTTAAGATTACCACTTTTTCAGTTAAGATTACCACTTTTTTGGTTAACATTACACTGTTGAGGTAAGAGTACTATTTTTTTCTTGTTAATATTACTATTTTTTTGGTTAAGATTACAACGTTTTTTTTGTTCAGATAACTACTTTTTTGGTTAATATTACTATTTTTTTTTTGGTTAAGATTATAATTTTGTGGTAAGATTATAGTAATCTTATTTTATACACTAAAAACTTTTTTTAGAATAAAATTAGAGGAGTAAGGTTCCAATTGGGTAATTGGGGTTTGGTTAGTAAGAATATCATATTAAGTATGCAAGGTTACCACTTTTTTTTTGGTAAGATTACCATTTTTAGGAAAGATTATCACTCTTGAGAGTAAGATTACATTGTTGAGATAAGAGTATCAATTTTTTAGTTAACATTACTATTTTTTTGATTAAGATTATCACTTTCTTTTTTATTAAGATTACATTATTGAGGTACGAGTACTATTTTTTTGGTTAACATTATAATTTTTTTTTTGTTAAGATTACCACTTTTTCAGTTAAAATTACAACTTTTTTGGTTAACATTACACTGTTGAGGTAAGAGTACTATTTTTTTCTTGTTAATATTACTATTTTTTTGGTTATTCATTACAACGTTTTTTTTGTTCAGATAACTACTTTGTTGGTTAATATTACTATTTTTTTTTGGTTAAGATTATAATTTTGAGGTAAGAGTACCACCTTTTTTTTTAACATTACCATTTTTTTTTGGTTAAAATTACTATTTTTTTTAGTTAACAGTACAACTTTTTTTATTAACATTATCATTTTTTTAGATAAGATTGTCACTATTTTTTTTGTAAGATTACCATTTTTTAAGAAAGATTATCACTTTTTAAGAGTAAAATTATTGCTAATGAGGTAAGAATATCACTTTTTGGTTAACATTACCACTTTTTTTTTGTTAGAATACAACTCTTTTTTTTTTTTTTTGTGTAAGAATACAACTTTTTTAAGTGTAATTAACACTATATAAATTACTATCTATTAGTCTAATTAACACTTTTCGAGGTAGTTAAGAATACCATTTTTTGGAGTAAGGTTACAATTAGTTTGGCTAATATTACCCTAAAATAAGGTTAGCATTTGTTTTGATCAAGAATATCATTTTCCTTATAAGGTTACCATTTGTTTTGGTAAAATTACCACTTTTTATAGTTACCGGTTGTTTAGGGAAGGTTACAATTTTTTTTGGATAAAATTACTAAATTTTTGTAGCTGAGGTTACCACTTTTTTAATATAATTACAATTTTTTGCGATCAAATACCAATTAAGAACACTTAGACCGATCAAGTGTTAGGTAGCGATCAAGAACACTGAAACCAATCAAGTGTTGGGTAGCGAGCAAGACTAGCGATCGAACAACTAATCTAAGACTTATCAAGCTTGCACTGCAATCAAGTAGCGATCGGATCTAATCATGACCGATCAAGAACACCGAACTAATCACGACCGATAAAATAGCGATCTGAGACCAATCTGTCGAAGACTATTGATCAAGAGTGGGATCAAGACTACCGATCAAGATCCTGGCAGTAGCAATCAAAATTATCATCTAAAGTATTTAATTAACATGTAATTAACAAATTAATATTACATTAACACATTGATTCATCAAATTAACATTAAAATTCAACTTAATTAATATTAAACTTATTCAATTTATATCCAAAATCATACAATTAACATCCAATAAAAAATCACTTTATTAAACTAACATTCAATTTTCATCCAATTTATATTTAATTTATCAAATTAACTTTCACCTACCATTCAAACCCAACAAATTAATATTCATATACATTCAATTAACACTTAATTCAACAAATTAACATCTGAAATAATCCAATAAAATTCAATTCATCAAATCTATACTAATAAGTTAATATTAAATTTTAATTTCATCTAATTAATATTTAATCCATCAAATTAACATTCAATTTCATCAATTAAATCTTCAATTTATTAAATTAACATTCAAATTCAACTAGTTACATTAAATTAATCAAATTAACTTTTAATTTCATTAAATTAATTACTCTAAATTAACTTTCTAAATTAAACAATAAAGATTCAATTTAATAACATATAATTTTATCTAATTAATATTCAATTCATCAAATTAACACCGAATTAACATTCAATTTTATCTAATAGGCATTCAAAAAGTTAATATTAAATTAATCAAATTAACGTCAAATTAATATTGAATTCATTTAATTTATATTCAAATTCGTGCAATTAATCCTCAATTAATCAAATTAACATTTAAAATTATTTAAAAAATATTTAATTTATCAAATCAATTTTTTAAAAATATATTCAATTTTAATTGACTCGAATTAAAACTATTTGGAGTTGAGGAGTTCGATTTGGGGGAATAAGAGAAGAAGGAGTTGATCCCTATTTGACCGGATGTAGCGATCTGGATCGGTCTTGTAGCGATGTAGGGACCGGTCATGGTTGGTTGGAGCAATCAAGTTAGCGATCATGTGTGGATTGGTCGTGGTTGGTTGTAGGAATCAAGTTAGCGATCATGTCCAAAATAAATTTCACTTATATCCCTAAATTATCATTCTTTTTTAATTTTTCTCTCGTATTTTTTATATTATACCCTCAACTATGTAATTAGTTTCACATTACCCTAGATTTTTTTAACTAATTTAATTTAACACCAAGAGGTGTTAATTTAACATCCAAATATGATAACTTTGTTGTAATTTATTTAGTAGTGAAAAACTTTGTTATATTTAATTTATTAAATTAACACCAAATTAATATTTAATTTATCAAATTAAGATTCACTTCCACCTATTAAGCATTCAACTCATCAAATTAACATTTATATTCATCTAATTCACACTCAAATTAACATCTGAAACAATCTAATAAAGATTCAATTGATCAAATCAATACGAAATTAACATAAAATTTCATCTAATTAAAATTTAATCCATCAAATTAACACCAACTTAAAATTCAATTTCATCGATTAAATATTCAATTTATTAAATTAATTTTCAAATTCAACGAGTTACATTAAATTAATCAANTAAGCATTCAAAAAGTTAATATTAAATTAATCAAATTAATGTCAAATTAATATTGAATTCATTTAATTTATATTCAAATTCGTGCAATTAACCCTCAATTAATCAAATTAACAT